CGAATCCATCTTGGAGCTGCCTTGTCCTTTTGCTTCGGAAATTTTGCTAAGGACACCTGTCCGAAAGTCATCATCTCACCCACATAGTCAAACCCATTGATGACTCTGAACGCCGTTGTCTTCGAATGGTTGATGTGAAACCGGGCCACCGTCCACGCACTGTGTCGCACAATCCATGGAAACAAGACACTGTCACAGCCAATCTTGACTTTGTATTTCTCTGACACCTCCGCAAGCCATGTGCGAATCTTGCCTGCCAGAAAACCGTTGACCATCTCTCCATCTGCTAAGGACTGTGAACTGTATCGCGGTGATCTCCGCAGAGTAACGGTGTCACCCATTTCCTTCTGCACCCTTTCATATATCTTGTTCAGAGCGCTTTCTTGGTCGAAATGGATCACTACCTTGTCCCACTTCAGATCCTTGATCCAGCTGATCATTGCCTTGCTTGCGTAGTCCGCGCTGGCTTTGGATGGCAACACCAGCGCGAAAGGGTACTGGCTCTCTTTGCAAATTGCAGTGAGAACGGTTACCAAACCAGCCCGCTTCTTTTCTCCTTCTTCTTTGTTCACTTCCTTGCCTTCTCCAGAAAAGAACATGTAGTCGGAGTAGATCACATGCTCCTTGGGGTCTTCCTTGACCCTCCTGTGCTGCTTGCTCTTACCTTGCCCCATCACACAAACAGGGCACCAACTCTCGAAGTTGGCATGGTGGAGGTTGTGTTCTTCCACCTCCTGAGCCGACGGCTCCTTCGGTGCCTTGATGACCTTGCTCTGGTCTCTTTCTCTGTCCTCATCTATCATCAGCCGATCCACTGCGTCTTCGTCGTCTTCCACAACTCCTCCATGAGCTTCCTCTCCTTGCGCAATCTCTTCTTCATATGCCTCGTCTAGTCCTTGCATCCATTCGCCTTCATAGTCTGGCTGCTCTTCCTCAGCAGCTGCTTCTTCTCTTTCTGGCTTCAGCCTGAACCAGGTTTCTCCCAGCCAAGCATGCTTCATATCCCTCATTGCAAAGCGCTTGTCTTCCCACGCACTCCGATCTTCCTTCTGGGACCCATCCTCCTCGAAGATCATCTTGGTGAGCCTTCCACTCTCCAGTCTCTCCAAGGGCACAGGGAGATCCTTGATCTTTGGCGCAAACAAACGCTTTCTTGGGCTGTTGTGCTCTCGAATGAGATACTCCACCCCATCCTTCACTTCTCTCTTCCAGCGGTCTTCCTCTCGGGGACCCAGATCCGGCTTGTCGGCAATGGGTGCGACCCTCCTGCCTCCTGCAGGCGCGCTCCCTTCGCCCACGTCCATCACTTTCAAGTACCACCTTTTCCCATGAAGCTCAAGTGGTACGGTGTCACCCGCGCTGGTCTCGAGGAAACACCCTCCTGGGCTGAAAACCACCTTGTGTCCTCTCGCTACCAAGCTGTGAACCGAAACTAGGCTCTCAGCAGCATCCGTTACGGTCATTTCTACTGCTCCTTTGGTTTGTCCGAACATGACCTGAGGGTACTGCTTTCCATACACCTTAAGCGGCGTCCCTTGCACGCTGAACAAAGGCTTCGCTTTCGAGGCATCCACCTGTGCTTCAAAGTCTCCTACTTTTGCTACACTCTCACAGGCTCCTGAGTCGATGAGAAGATACCGGTTGCCTAGCTGTTTTGCAGTCACAGCTGCGACGGAACTCTCACTCACAGTGAATATCACATCTTCATCACTCCACTTGACAACACGCTGCGAACCTTCAAACACAGAACCAATCCCTGCACCGTTGCCACTCCGGTCTTCTGGGGCAGTCGATGCACCCGTCCCACCGGTCTCGGTGTAGGCCTCGTTGTCGACTGCTCCAACCTTCCACCAGCAGTCTGCAGCAATGTGACCATGCCTGTGGCATATATGGCACTGCTTTCCAGCGTGCGGATTGTTGTTCTTTCCTTTCCCATCGTTTTGCTTTCCTTTGCCTCCTTTGTTGTTGTTGCCTGCTCCTTTTCCCTTGTCGGTTTTGCCTTTCTTCCCATCCTTACCTTTCCCTTTGCCATTGTTGTCCCACCTGTTGTTGTTCCACTTCTCCTTCCATTTGTCCTTTCCTTTGTTGCTCCAGTTGTCCTTTCCTTTGTCGCCCCAGTGGTCCTTTCCTTTCTTCCATTCTCCTTTCCCTTTGCCTTTGTCTCCTTTTACTCCGCCGATGTCCATAGGCCTCACTCCCCCATCATCATGCTCAGCAGTTTTGTTTGAGGCTTTGGGCATCCCGAACTGTGAACCTTGAGGCCTTTTCCACAGGTTTCTGTTGATCAGATACTGTTCGATGTACTCTCTTATCTTGTCGTATCCGTTCAACACATCACTGTGCATGAAGATGCTTTGCTGCAACTCTTTCGGTGCAATATGAGCCAAAATGGACACTTTCTCATCTTCTGAAAACGCTGTGTTGTACGTACGCTCAAACTCTCGACGTTCAGCTTCCCACTGGTGAAGCGCTGTGCTCCACTGTGCAATGTCACTCGAAAACGAGGGATTTGCTAAGTGCCTGCGCCACACCCAGGCCTTAGTCCGATGCGCTGGCTCGCTCAGAAGCACCAATCTTCTCCAAACCTCAAAACCGTTGGCATCACGCAACCCTTGTCCTATGACGTTCATCGTTGGCTCGGGACAGTACTGTATCAGAAACGTGTACATGGCTTTCGACAGTCTACTTTCTTCGGGGCTAAATTTGGCTTCATCAATCGGGTTCTTACTGGCTCCATGCTTTTCCAACAACTCTGGGTAACGCTCATGCACTGTGCTTGACCATGCCATGAAAACATGTTTGAACTTTTCCCATTCTTCTTTCTTGCCGTTAAACGTGTGCGGTTTTGGAACATGACTGGGGTGTATCAGTTCTTTCTCTTTTCTTTCGGCGCTCCCTGTGGCTTGTCCTGCTGCTGCTGCTGCTGCTGACTGTGCTTGAAGTGCTCGTTCTGCTACATCAAGTCTAGCTTCGGCCTCTGCTGTCTTCTTTTGTTGCTCTTCAAAGGCAGCGTTGGCTCGTTGCATACCAAGTGTTAGGTCCTGCACTCTACGGGCTAACTCTTCTAGAGTTGCCATTGAAACTACCAAAAAAAAACTCAAACACACACAAACTGTACAGGCTTCACGAACACAGAAGCGGTGCCGAGTTCGGCAGCAGCCTGCTTGAGCTGCTCCCTCACACTCGGCGGTGTCACCCGCACTTCAGCGGTTCCAACCCGCTCCTGAGGACTGGTACCAAGAGCCTTGCCACTGGTGCCAGCCTCCCGTTCCTCTCGCTCTGTACCACTCGTTCCAAAGCCGATCTCGCTCCCGATCTTGGCGGCTCCACTGCTCGTCACTCCTCTCTTCGTTCTCTGTGTCCTCCTCTGTGACTCTGTTGTCAAAGCTCGGCGTCACCTGCCGTCGCCAGCCCACAGAGGAGGCCCGACTTTCGAGGTCCCAGCTCGAGGCGGCCCCCGCACTCGAGTGCCCCACCGATGGGCGGGCTTTGGCACGCGGAGGCTCAGATGGCTCCGGCGGCGGCTGCTTGTGCCGCTTTGCTTGTTCCCGCCTTTCACGTGCCCTGTCGGCCTTCTTCAAGGCAGACTGCACACCGTTCGGATCCTTCGGGTCAGTGCTGTGCTCCTCTGAGCTTTCACTTTCCCAATCCGAGGTGTTTCCGGACTGCTCCTCTTTCTTGACCTCCTGCTTGATCTCGCCTTCACTTTCGGAGTCCCACACCGATGTTGGCTGGTGTGTGAGCGTAACCACTGAAGCCCCGCTTCTTGCTGGCTCGGTGTGTCCCGCCTCTGTAGGCGGTATCACCCGCGCAGCACTGCTGGGTTCTTCTCGCTCCTCGCTGGCCTCTGCCTCGTCCGAGGAAGCTGCTGTGCCGCGCCTGCTGGTCCTTGCCAGCCGCCCAAGCCCTTCTTGCACCCTCTGACCAGCTACCTTCTGCAAGTAGCTCCTTCTAGCTTGTCGTCCAGGGTTCTGCGCTGCGATTGTAGCCAGCCCTGGGTACTGGGCCCTCAAGCGCTCCCACTGTCCGCTGTCACTGGTGGGAGGTAACTCTTCAGGAACCCAGGCGTCCTCGTCTAACCACTCACCAAACCCAAGGTTGCTGCCTTCGCTGGGCCTGGCTTGTAGTCTGAGCGCGTCCTCTGCAGACAAGTCTCCAGGCACAGGAGCCTCTTGCGGTTCCCTGTCCCTGGACTCCGACCTGTTCAGCGCTCGCTCTGCTCGTCTGGCAAAGCCTCGTAGGATCCTTCGCTCCTCTGCTTCTGCACTACGATGACGACTGCGAGGTGCGTCGGCTTCTCTCCCTTTTCTGACACCCTTCTTGGTCTTTCCAGACCCCTTTGCTTTTGCTCCACCTTTTCCCGTGGTGCCTTCTTCGCGACTGCTACTGGCGCAGTTCGCTTCTGTCTTGCTTCTTTAACGAGGGTTTTGGCAAGACTCCCTCGAGTCCGGCAGGCTTTGTCGCCCTGCCTGCGGTGTCACCCGCTGCTGCTTCACACGCAGCTAACGGTATCACCCGTTGTTCACGAGCTCCGGTCGACTGGCTTTTGAACCAGGAGCTCCGCTACCATGCGAAACGAGCGGAAACCTATTTTCTCCCACTCTTGCTTGTGCCTATAAAGGGCTTCGGTAAAGACACCTCTATACAACTGTACAAGGTACATGCTTTACCTAGAAAGTGGTGTGGGGTCAGCAACTTTCGCACACAGGCGGCTTCCCACTTCGGCCGGCCAGCCAAGAGCCCGAGAGGGTTTAGGATACTCCGGGCTCCAAAGGTATAGGGCGAGGCAAGACCGACGCAGATGAAGAAGCTGCAGCAATGCATGCGCGCAGAGACTCTTTTCAGACTATGGCTTGCCACTTCGCTCCGCTCTGTACAATTAAAAATGACAGGTCCAAGTCCTGGGCACCTGCAGCAGACTGCCGGCAATCGTCGACAAATCTGTGCAGCCCCCATGCCTTAGCAGCGAGGGCTTTCGGCTGTCATAAGCCCATCCATCATCAATCCTTGGTCTTGATGGTCTTGTGAGTCTTGTGTGTTGGAGCATCTGATCAATATCCTATTTGATCGTTTTCGGGTCCTGAAAGACAAGCAGATGAAACTCAACACAGACGAAACACAGCCTAGAGTCGCTTTCTTGGAGTGGTAGAAAGCGATCGGGGCGTGGGCGTCGCAGCGCGACAGTACCGACCAGCACTGCCACTCCGACTAGAGCAGGCCAGGCGGCGACATACACCGGCTGCATCGATGGAACGATGGCGTATTTGGAAGTCAGGTCGTGCAGCTTGCAAGCTCTGATCATCTGCTTTCCGTGCTTGTTGGCAAGTACGTAATCCAAGTACGAGATGTCGTCGCACAAGCCAGCAGGTGCCGGTGATGGCGGCGTTGCTGGTGCTACTGTTACTACCACGTCGCTCTTCCCATCCACTGTGAGTGTCAAATTGGAAAAGGCCTCGATCAACTCGCCAGCATCGCTTGCCGACAAGCCGTCGATTGAAGCAGCCACTTCTACACTGTCGACACCAAGACTCGCTTCGGTCTCGTCATCCAAGGTGATCTGATACCCTGCCTCCATAGTGACCGGCGCTGCGTCACCTGCTTGTAAGCGTCGCAGCCTTAGCGAGCATTGGACCGTTACCAGCACAGTCGCAGGTGGGATGCCAGCGGTCTGCGCCACGGTCGCGGCCACAGCTTCAGCCACTTGAGCCTTGACTTCTTCACTGCAGCCATCTTCGGTGTTGACTGTCATTTGCAAGGTGCCAGTTAGCACAGTGACCTGCCCAGCTCCTCTTTGGACCTTTCCAGCCACATAGAGCCAAACTGTGCGAGCTGGCGGCGGTGTGGGAGTGCAACCATCGCCACTGGCAAAGAGCTCGGTCCATCCAGCACCCTTCTGCACAGTCCCAGCAGCCCCATCAGCTAGGCCAAGGCCGATGGCTGCTGTGCCAACGTCGACGCAGCTTGCAGACTTGCAGTTGCTACAGTAACCCCAACGGACATTGGGCCCTGCCCCACACTGGATGTTAAAGCCCGGCTGGATCATTGGGCAAGTGCTGTATGAGCCAGCTGGGACCTGGAAGGCCTCGAGCATCACATCTTGATCCACGGTCGGGTCAACAGTGGCCCCTGAGTTGAAGAGTGCTAAGGCATTGTCCCAGGTTGTGTTGAAGGCATGGTCCACACAACCTGAACCCGGGCTCTCGATGCACATACGAATTTGCGCAAATGGCACAGACAGGAAGGTGCTGTACTTTGCATCTTCGACCACAACTCCCGCGGAATTCTCGTTGAGCAAGAGGCTGTTGGTCCAATAGGGCGAGTCGAAGCCGAAGGTGTTACTCTGCACTTTCATTATCAGAATCCTCGTCTGTATAATAAGGTCGAAAGATGTTATGTGCCTCACTGGGATTTACTACAAGAAGGGTACATTTCAACCCTGGCAATGAGCCCAGAATCCATGACTCCCTTTCGTAGCAATCACTACCAGGATCCGCCGAGGCGTTCAGGGCACCCACCTGCCAATATGAGCAGATCTTTGAAGCCAAATCTTGTCGGAAACCAAGGCAAGAGAACTGTCGAGAGCAAGCCTCCTTACATTTCTCAATGTCGGTGTACTCATTGTTGGGCCCTGCCTCCCCATAGCTGGAAGCTGTCCCATCACTCCACTGGGCACAGTTTAACTCCAAGCCACCACACTCCTGCGATGGCAAGCGTGTAAAGGGCGCGGTGGTTGTTGCAGTGGTGGGGAGACCGCACATACCTCGAGAATCTCGGCTGCCGAAAGCGCACTCGATGCAATCTAAGCTGGAAGGACCTGAGCAGCCTGCACAAGCAGCGTGACAGGGCAAGCATTGACCGATCGAGATCTCCAGGAATTCTTGGCCTGCGCATGTCGTTGCAATCGCTACTGCTTGACCTTTCAGGCACATGAAGTTCTGATCAGCCAGAACAGTTCCATCCACGGCAGCTCCGGGGTAGAGTGTGCCAGCCACGCTCCCGAAGGCATAATTCCTGGACCGAGCTGGCGCATACTGCCCGCAGTAGGTGCAATCCCCAGCATCCACTTCCTCAAGTGCACCTCCCGCACCTTCCCGAGCATAGCAGTTGATGCCAGGCTCATTTGATAGTGTTAGCGGCTGAGATGCACTCCTCCAAAAAGTGCACCTTCCATCCGAAACTCTCTCAAGGAACGCAGCACATTCAGCACGTTCGGAGCACATCCGTCGACACGTTTCCAAGAAGGAATAGCCTGATCCGTACCCTGCATTTGTTCCATCATCCCAGGTTTGGATTTGTGCAGACTCACATCGCGTGTCTTGGAGAAGCTGGAACCCCACCGTATCCGACAACCGCTGCTTGAAATAGCAGGACATGGAACTCTGATCATATGGATTCAAGTACTTGCTCTTCCAATACGAGCATCGACCATTTGCCTGAACAAAGCCTGCGCACTCTGGATGTTCATCGCAAGTCGCTTTGCAGACCTCTGGGTCAACTCCACCAGCATCTGTTCCGTAGTTCGACGAGGTGCCATCGGCCCACTGGTTGATGGTGATACCACCACAGTGCTTTCCCTGAACTATGCCATACACAACGGCCGGTGCCGGTGCCGGGGCATCACAGCTCTCTACGCTGGGATAGGTGCAATTCAGGCCTTCTGGGATATCAACCCGAGTCTTGGAGTTGATCCAGAGATTGCTTCCCTTGTCCGACTCGTACTTGAACCATATCTTCTCATCACTCGCCTCCTGACCCCACGTGCAAAGGAAGCCGGGCTTGTAGGGCGCAACGGGGTCATAGTTTGGAAAATCCGTGCGAGACAAGTCAGGACGAAGCTTAAGCTCTTGTGGTATACGGGACCTGACATAGCCATAAGTTGGTCCAGGGCCGAGGACTACCGGAAGAACAAAAGTGACCGTCACCACGTTTCCAGACACGGAGAAGGTCGCGGCATCACTTAAGCTTCCACCAACTGCATAGAGTGGCACGTCGCGACGAGACAAGACGAAGGCTCCTGTGCACGAGCCGCCGGCAGAACAGTTCTTGCAACAAGCCAGCTCTTGGCAAGTGTGTCCAGGATATTCACGTGGTGCAGAGCCTTCATTCCGTGCCGCTAGAAAGCCAGCCGCGAACGTCGCCTCACACTGCTCATCAAGGTTGGGTACACACTGTTTGCCATAGCATGTTTCGCCTTCGCCTTGGCAGGGTGCTCCTACTGGCAAGCCCCTGTCAAGAGGGCATCTGGCAGATTGGCCATCACAATACTCGGCAAAATCACAGGAGCCCACTGATGGGCGGCAAACGGTCTTTGTCGAAGCAAGCTGACAATTCTGCATGCAGCAGGCTTCCGAAGACGCGCACTGGGCGCCAGGATTTAGCTTGCATGTGCTGCATTCACAGCAAGGGTCAGCAACGGCACCACAGTCGCATTCTTCTGCATAATCGATTTGCCCATTGCCACACGAAGCGCCTGCATCAAGGCGGGAGACGCAAGAGCCCGCTTGGCAAATGCCGTTCCTGCTGCTTCGCGGATCGGTCTTTAGCCAGCAGGGGGTCCCATCCGACACGAGCGTTCCATCGAAGCGATGATCACACTGCACAGCAGAGTCTGTGAAGTATGACATGTGGCAAACAGCTGCACCACAATCGTCATCGTAAGCATGGCAGGACGGCGTCAAATCCCAGCCTCCTGGAAAATTCTGACTGAGATCTGCGCAATTGGCTGCCATGCTTTGACAACCTCCATCTGCACAAAATCCTGGGTATGGAGTTCCATCCTGTGTGCGAGTGCAGCTTTGCCCTGAATACGCACTTGGGCAGGAACATGGATTGGCAGAGGCTGAATAGAAACAAGATGAGCAGCAAGAAGGATCTGAGAAATCACTGCACTCATAGCTGGGGTCAGCAAACTTGCAGGTTCCACCATTGCAACATGGATCCAGAGTGCTGCAATCAGACGAGCCACAATCGCAATCTTCACCCACCTCAACCACACCGTTTCCACAAAAGCTGTCTGCCCAGCACTTCGAAGGAAGATTCTCCAAGCACTGCCGGTGGGGATTCGGGTTGTAGACGTCCTGTCAGGGTGGCGATTTGTTTTCTGGATGGAGTTTCGGACTTTAATAGCTCTGTGATTTGTGAGACTGGACATTCTACCCACAACAAATACCCCAGAGTCTTCGCTAACCCCTACACCCTAAACCCTAAACCCTAAACCCTACACCCTACACCCTAAACCCTAAACCCTACACCCTAAACCCTAAACCCTAACCCAACGATCCTGGAAGTACGTGGCCATGTCAGCGGCGCTGCAGCTCGAGAATTGCAGCTCGTTGGAGCCGGTCCAGGCCCACATGATCAAGGCCGGGGAGTCCTGTTTAGGCTTTAGGGTTTAGGGTTTAGGGTTTAGGGTTTTAAGGGTCTTGGGATTTTTTCGGGAAGAAAACCTGCAAAACCATAATACCTTGCCCGAGTTTTCAACCCCTAAACCCGATAAACCCTAAACCCTGCAAAAACCGAGTCAAAAGCTCTGAAACCCTCAGTTATTTCCTAGGAGACCGATTCGGTGGTTCTTACTGCATGCTGCGGGAATCGTCGAAGCGTCGAATCCTGATGACGATGCAGCGTAGTATCATAACCGGCGCCGAATGAACCATGGCTACATCACCGTTTCTTCTTAAACTTATGCTATATATCATAATAGTATATTATTGTTACTATGCTGTACTAGGTTATAGTATACTATGCTAAATTACGCTGTATGTCCCCAAACGGCGAAGCTATGGGGTTCTAGATTTGCTTCACAATGTGCTATTGTTTTCTGGTGTCCGAGACGGGGAGCCAAATGCTGCTACTGGGGGAGGGGCAGGATTTGTCTCCCTTCATAACGTGCTATTGTCTCCCCTCATGTCTCGTTGTCTGGTGTCCGAGACAGTGAGCCGGATGCTGTGACGCGCTTCCGGGGACGGACAGGATCACTCCCTTCATAACGTGCTATGGTCTCCCCTCATGTCCGAGACGGGGAGCCGGATGCCGTGACGCGCTAGAGGGGGAGGGGCAGGATTTGTCTCCCTTCGTAGCGTGCTATTGTGTCCCCTCATGTCGCGTTCCGATGCTATAGTCTCTTATCTGAAGGATCGCAGCCACCAGAAGAGAGTCTTCAGCAGCGGTCACAGCGATGCCATAGACTTGGAGACTAGAAGTAACAAGGAAGCAGAATGTGAAGCCCTAGACCCGAAACCCTAAACCCTTCTGCCCATACTCCGGGCCCAGCCGAGGCGGTGCACGCGGACAGCGAGTTTGCGGGGCACGTGACAGCAACAATGAAAACTTGGCAACCCTATACCTGAAACCCTAAACTGGCCCTAAACCCTAAACTCTAAACCCTGAAACCCTAAACGCTATTGCCCTAGTACTCTGCAGGGCTCCTGTAGGCTGTAGCACGCTGTATAGTTATTGCTGGCGTCAGCGTAGTCGTGAGCCATGCCGAAGGTGTGGCCAATCTCATGCGCCGTAAGCCTGGGGCTTAGGGTTTAGGGCTCAGGGTTTGGGGCTTCAGGTATTCTTGTGGTTCCCCTGGGAGGATCCCCAAAAAAAAGTAGAACCTCCAAACCCTAAACCCTAAACCCTAAACCCTAAACCCTAAACCCTAAACCCTAAACCCTAAACCCTCAAGACAAAATAAATAGAAATTGTACGTGGTACACCATTCTGAATTTCCAAGTTATTTGTCTAAACAGCTGACAAGCCGAGTTTACGTCTGAGGCCCAATGATCAGTTTACTCAAACCTCGCCCTGTGGCACCATTGTGAATTTCCAAGTTATTTGTCTAAACAACTGACAAGCCGAATTGAGGCCAAATACTCAAACCTCGCCCCCCTCCTCCCCGCCTCCTTCCTCGCCCCCCTCCTCCCCGCCTCCTTCCTCGCCCCCCTCCTCCCCCTCCTCCTCCTCCTCCTCCCCCTCCTCCTCCCCCTCCTCCTCTCCTCCTCCTCCTCCCCCTCCTCCTCCCCCTCCTCCTCCCCCGTCCTCCTCCCCCTCCTCCGCCCCCGCCTCCTCCCCCCCTCCTCCCCCTCCTCCTCCCCCTCCTCCTCCCTCCTCCTCCCCCTTCTCCTCTCCCCCTCCTCCTCCCTCCCCCTCCTCCTCCCCCTCCTCCTCCTCCCCCCCTCCCCCTCCTCCTCCCCCCCTCCTCCTCCCCCCCCCCCTCCTCCCCCTCCTCCTCCCCCCCTCCCCCCCTCTCCCCTCCTCCCCCTCCTCCGCCCCCTCCTCCCCCTCCTCCCCCATAACTTTTTGTCCCTTTCCGGATGGAAACCTCCCCCTCCTCCCCCTCCTCCCCCTCCTTCCCTCCTCCTCCCCCTCCTCCCCCTCCTCCCCCCTCCTCCCCCTCCTCCCCCCCTCCTCCCCCTCCTCCCCCTCCTCCCCCTCCTTCCTCCCCCTCCCTCCCCTCCCCTCCTCCCCCCCTCCTCCCCCCCCCCCCCCCCCCCTCCTCTCCCCCCCCTCTCCCCCCCCCTCCTCTCCCCCGCTCCTGCTGGCTGCTGGGCGGAAAGTGGAGGGGGGATTTGAAAAAACAAAACGGTTCGTTCAAAACAAACCCTAAACCCGAAACCCTAGCCCTAAACCTGCTTAGGAGCCCGTAAAGGGGATCTACTTTGTGAATCCTCCCAGGGGCCCGGGTCTAGGGTTTAGAGTTTATAAGGTCTAAGGGTATAGGTTGAGCTGTAGGGGTTAGCATGGGTTAGCGGTTTAGGTTGGAACGGAAAACAGAAGGTTTAGGTTGGAACGGAAAACAGGAGAAAAAAAAAAAAAACATATCTCCAAAATAATTTCATGGGAGAAACATCGCACAACGCCTCACGCCATCCGGCCTACAGGCTTGGATGCTGGCCGATTGTGGGGGATTGCACATGGTGTTGGAGACGGCGAAGCCAACCAGACCTTGAAGCACTCGTCCTGTAAAAAGTGTACGCAAATCACTGTTGTACCATCCACCTGACTGAATTTGCTGCAAGGTGTATGTTCGGAAGTAGTAGCGGAGCCAGCCAGGATCTGTCTTGTTCTCCCCGTCTGGCTGGACCTCTGGCTCATCTGCCCAAGGATCTGCATCTGTAAAAGTATGGATTTCCACCAACACAGCCTCAATGACCTCTGACCATGCACCTGTTCTCGGAGGCATTCGATAAGAATCACGCACTAAGTCCATGACGGTCACATCGTACAGGGCGACGTCCTCGAATCTGCTCGGGCCCTGAAACTGCTGGAGGAACTCCACGTCGTTAACGACCGTGATCTCGGCCGTCTTGCTTGCCTGCGCTCTATGGCTGCCCCAACTTCTGGATCGACATTTGAGAGCTCAGCTCAAGTTTCAAAGCATTATTGGAAAAAGCAATGTGATATCGCAAGCTGCAGTTCAATCGGCCTCTTTTTGCCCAAACATGCCCAAACCTCCAGTTCTTGCGTCAAGGGTAGAGGGGAATTTGAGTACTGAGGGCGTGCTGCGCGTGTCTTTGGGGAGTGTTGTTGTTGTGCGGAACTCGTGTTGTTGAATTAGCGTGCCGTGCCTATTTCTGGCTTCAGATCGCTCAAGGTTGACTCTTCGGCAAAAGGCTCCTTCAATTCTGTGGTTCTAAGGGGTTTAAGGGCTTTAGGGTTCAGGGTGTAGGGCCAGTTTAGGGCGTAGGGTTTAAGGGTGGGAGCCATACCTTTGCATGGCTTTGGCAGGGCAGCAAGCCAAGAAGGCCTTCTCAGTCGGTATGCTTTGCAAGTCCTCTCCCTGTTCCTGGAAAGTTTCCGAACCAGCCCTGTGCGTCGAAATGCTTCATTTAAAAAAGGGGAACGGAGGGCAGACAGCAACAACGCACATGCAAGGCGCGAGTCGTGGCATGTGATGCAGTGCGGCGTTTCTTCTTTGATCTTCTGCTAATGATGAACTCCCAACGCATATCCACGCACCAAATGCGGAGCTAACGCCGGGGGCGGCTGCACCTGAACAGCCTTGCTGCTGGCATCTGTTCCGTCTTTACCTGGGGGAAAGGAACCTGAATTTTTTTAAAGCCTCCGCGCTGACATCCACATGCAGAAGAGGGGGATGTGGCGGGTTGTCACGGGTCTTGATCTTGGGACAATTTTTTCAGGCGCACGCTGCTTAGCCACAGCCCCAGCTGAGGCCAAGACCTGCAGTCGACGGAGTCGACGGCCCAACTGAAGATCTGGGGCGTCAGGAGCCTCACCGAAGAGCCGCATTCGGTGTGGTCCGCTTAGTCCGCTCATGCCAAGGCTGCCAAGGGAGAGCGCCGAGCTGACCGGCTCAACCGGCTCAATTGCCAGTGTGGAATTGAAGAGGCCCACGATGATGCCCGAGAGGCCGTTTCTGCATGTTGAGATGCTGGCACTGCTTCCAGGTATTCCGGCTACGTAGCCTTTGTAGAAGCACTCTGGGAGGGGGCCCTTGCGAACCTGGCCCCCTTCATGGATGTGATGCCTCACCGAAGTTAAAGGCTTCCTTTCCAACCTGATCTGGTATGCTCGGCCATGTCTGACGAACTGAACCCAAAGAAGATCCGTAATTGCTCCTGCAACATGTGACCCTGGGGAATCTTCGACGTGTATGTCGATGACCTCCGCGGGGCCTTCAGGTGGCGATGGCGACAAATCTTCACTTGCCAGGGCGCATGTGAAACCCAACAAGAGGAGCATTCCGCAGAACATTTTGCCCACCTGAAACGAAAGCACCTGCATGGTGCTTTTGGACATTATAGTGTAGAAAATTAACAATGGCCGTAGACTTTGAGCCCGGTCACAGCTGCGTGCAGGGTCAATGTCGGCAGGAACCACGTTCAGAAGAGCTTGATGCACGGAAAAGAGACAAGAGAGTCTCACATCCTCAGAATCAAAACGCCATCATGGCATCATGGCAGAATACATAATATACAAATAAGTATATCGAACATATTCAAAAGAAAGTATAACATACAGAATACAAAATATAGAATGTTTTTTACATACATACATACATACATACATATACATACACATACATATGTATATACATATACAGATCAGCATCATCATCATCATCATCATCATCATGCCCTCAACCATTCAACAACGAAGCTGCATGTGCAGATGGGCGCGCCTCGTTGGGGCCCCACCCAGCTTGAAGTTCTCTGGAAACGCACTACCGGCCTTGCCTATGCATCGTACCCTAACGTAAACATGCTCCATCATGGTGGCTGCCCACATACTGATCCGCTATGGATTGTTCTGTATGCAGGAGAACACGCCAAAGCCCAGATCCTAAACAGCTTCGCGGCAAGGCAGCACCTCAACTTAAAAAGGATGAAAACGTGTTACGTCAACATGCCGTAATATGATGCTGATCAAGAAGGCCCAATCTAAGCCCAGAAAAGAACGTTAAAGATCTGAATAGAAACATTTGCGGCGTGGATGGGTTTTTACACCCTGGCGGGCTGTTGGTCAAAAGTTTGTAAAGAGTGTCTCTGCGCACGGAAGGTGCCAAGCTGAGCGAACCTTGACGTTTTGGGGCAAAATCTCAGTCGATAGCAGACTCATCTTGCCACAAACATTTAGGCGACCCAGCCTGTTGTGGAAAGCAGTAAGACGCACCAGGCAGAACACACCGCTCATTGAAACTGTATGAGTCTTTACAACTTACGAATTTTCGCAGGGATCGTGATCCCGTGGGTCGCTTGAAGGCCCCTGGAAGACGAATTGGGAAAACGCTTCTCATGCCTCTGCACATCAACCTTGTTCACATGGTTTCAAGTCTGGGGAGATTAGTGTGTACTGGACAGCCTCCCGCCTGCCATGCCTTAAATCCGACATGTTCAACGCCGTATCTCAGAACCCAGAGATGCCTGTCGGAAAGAAAGCCTAGCCTTTCTTATAGATTATTGCTGTCAGCGGTTGCAGACATCATGGATGGGAAGGGGGATAAGCTTTGGGGCAAACTGTCTGGGGAGCATGCCTGGTTTTCTGGCCATGCCATTACACTGAAAGCGTGGCACCAGGGCTTAATGTGATTGCACTGCACCAGACTAAATCGCACACCGTTGTCACGGAGATATTTGATTTTGTTGGCGGATGTTCACCGATCTTTCTCGACGATTACTATACTTGTGTCTCTCGATTTCGTATTTGTCGTGTTTTTCTAGCATCCCTGCATTATATTTCTTTCGGTCAATCTCCATTAGGGCAGCCTGCACTTACATTGATAGGATGGATGATAAGTCTGCTCTCCCTGGATGTTTTTTTTTTGCGCCTCGATGCTTTGATCAATTGGTGCTTTTAGGAGTAGACTCCAAGTTCAGGGGCCTGCGGTCTGCAAATATAGTTCCCTTACCTACCACTTCTGATCGCGCAGTCATAAACGAAGCAAATGGCCTAAATCTCAATGGGACCGTGAATTCTACTCGTGTAATTTGTTGCTCTTCAGGGTTTGTCCACCAGTCGGTATTTTTCGGCATTGCATTGTCCGAATTCAGAACCCTCTTGAAGTGAGTCACTATCGCTTGTGCTGAGCAAGCGCTACTTTATGCACGATGCTTGGTTAAGGCACACATGCGGCGCAGGAGCACATATGGCAAGAAGTGTATCTACGTCCCGATGCCTCTTTTCCAATGGTCCAAGGAGGTCTCTATATCCTAGTTGCTGAGTACCCTGGGCTAACAAAGGACAACCTTTGCAATTCTGGCAGGATTGTATATACCCCAAAAGGTTGAAGGTCACCTACTCAACTACTAAGTGGTAGTCCACGCCTCGGCACGCCTATGTTGGACGGCAGTGACTCCTAGATTTCTTAGTCAACCAACCTAGACAGATTTCGCCTCCTAATTCGGCTTCGCCTCCCCAGGCGCCGCAATGCATATATCATTCGAATTAATACAGAATCAGACAGTTTATTAACAGAAGTAGGCCAATGTTCTCCCCTGCAGGGTTCATCATAGATCGAGATCATTCCACCTCCGCAATACACCAATCCCGACCAGACCAGAACCCAGACTTCTCAGGACAAGAAACTCAAACTTCCAGAGAACAGATTTCCTTCGCCTCATGAATCCGGACTCCCGGCCTTTTGCCGGGTTCGTGACGGTGCGTTTACCAATTGGGCTTCCGAACAGAATACGGCACGCTCTTCTCAGGCTTCTGGTGCGCTGACCGAAGCGCATCGAGACGCGCCTGGCCAGTCGACAGAACTTGAGCATGGGTTGTTGCATCTTGCCAGGTACATTAAAAGGTTGTGAGTTATGAGTTCTGTGTTCTGGAATGCTTTGGGATGCTTTGCAGCTGTATAGCTGGCCGATGCCCTGAAGTGGCTGAGTGAGAAGCTCGGCTCTTGCCAAGCACGTGGCACTGGTGTGGCTGCACGACGAGGGCTTATGCATAGCAGCTGGCATGGTGAGGTCATGACATGACATTGTGACAAGAAGATGCTGAGGACCTTCGCTTGCTGGAAGCGCCCAGCGTCGTTTACTTCTGGCGTGTTGCCAGGCCTCAGTTACAACCGCGCGATTTTGCGGGGACGCAGGCATGTCTCTCCATGCTTCTGAATGTCCCCACGAGGGTCTATAGCCACTATCGCCTCGACAAGAGATAGCGCCATGGATGCTGAGCGCGTGGCACGGCGACTGGAACCGCACTGATGCGCAGCAGCCGTTCACGCTCCTGAGCAGAGCTCGCAACAAGGCGATGGGCATCTGACGCCGAAGCTGGCAAGGAGCTTGCACGGGATGCTGTCAAGTGCTTCTAATGTCGCACTGCCAAGTGCATCTGCAGCTCAGAACAGCGGCAAAGTCCACTACCGTAGTATGACTCGACCCTATGTAACTCTATTCTGTTGCTTGCAAGAACTCTGCTGACCTCGGCAGCTGATCCGGCCCGAGGCAGCACCAGGGGCACCTGAGGTCTATAGTCGTGAGACATCAGGAGACCCTCGGCCCGAAACTCACTTCGCTCAAGCACGCAAGCCACAAGCACAAGTCATCGAGCCCGGAAGCCTTTGGCACCTCTTGCTCTTTGCCCTTCCTCGGAACGGAAACAAAGCAACATGAACACACACACACACAAATTTGCTCCAGCTTCATGCAGCAGGTTTGGCTTCAACTCGCCTCTAGAGTCTGCACTGCCGGTTTCAAGCACACCGTCTGCCCTCCAGATGCCGGTTGATGACGCGAGGATTGGGCATGGCAAGGAGTGTTTCGCAAGGGTGTTTAGAGGGATGTCCATGTCCATATTCACCTTCTTTTTTTGCAGCCATGAAGAGTGGGTCTACCCCAGTCTTCCACGCTTCATGTGTGTCTGATGGTTTCAAGACTTTCTGAGACTGTCTGCTGTGCTGATGGCACCAGGGCAGATCATGGGGATGGAATGTGGCCATCCACAGCCCCAAAGTCGTCATCCCCAATCTCCTATCCATGCCCACTCTCCCCTGATAGCCTGCCAAACCAGGAAGGGTTTGCCCGCGCTCGAATTACTCCCCGCACGTCGGCGCCTTTCTGTCTTTGCAAGGGTCTAACATGCTTGAGAAGTGAGGGCCAGTATCCTTCCCTCGTGCATCATGCGCTGGTGCGGGTCTCATCAGCAAACAAGTCAGAGTGGCATGAAACCTATGGTCACAACAGGGCCCTACCCCATCCATTCTTCACCTCTCTGTGCCAAGTGTCTTCTTGTCTTTTTTCTTTTCTTTCTTCTTCTTTTTGTCCTGGAGCTGCGTAAGGCAGCGTCAGCAGTGACACAACCCTCCATGGGCATCTCACGCCGAGCCTTCTTCTTCTTCTTTTTCTCCTTGTCCTTCTTCTTCTCCTTCTTCGACTTCTTCTTATCCTGGCACAGCGCGTTGGCAGCAGGCATCTTGAGTCTTGGCATGAAACGGCCTTCTCCTCCTCAGAGGAGTCGGAGGATGAAGAGGAGCTTGAGGATCGGCTTCTCTTTCCCATAAGCACTGGAAAAGCCAGGGAATTGAAGAATTAGGACGGTTACCTCCATGGCTCGCGGGGGGGGGGGGGTTTGGGCAATATCTCTCCGGCGTGATGCCCCTTGCAATTTCAGGGGCTTGACGTGTTCCATGGGCAGCTGTTCTGTTGTAGCCGCTAACACATCTTGGCTAGTCCTGAGCCGAACGGAAGCACGCAAATTAAGGGCGTTGGGATGGAACAGGATGCCCTGAATGCAAGTCCTTATATCAGACATGAGGCATCAGGCCATTCACCTCAAGCATACCAGGCTGAATGCTCGGCACGTTTCTTCAGCCGAGGCTCTTCAGCGGGTCAGCAGCACGCTGGAAACTAGGCACTGCTTCTGAGCAAACTGTATCTCGCAGAACTCCCCATGCAGTCTCTTTCAAGAGACGCGAGTGTCTCCGGGGGTCATTCGCAAGGCTCGAGCCTACATATTCTATTTCTATGCATGACCTGAGTACGACATCGCAACTGTGGCAAATCTTCCTCACAGCCACGCTAAGCGTGTCCGAGTTATAGGCTCAGCGAGCCATGTGTTGCAATGCAGCAGTCTTGCGTTGCTTCATTCACTCGCGCCCAGGCTTCATAGGAAAACAGTGGTGAATGGATTTTAGTAATTTTAGTATTGCAAGCATCGATGCAAGACGGCCGAGCTAAAGAAAAATGGTTCCATCCAGTTGCTTTGGTCGCTGATGGATAAACGCATCTTTGGTTTGATGCTCAACTTGCTGTGCCAATTTCTGGCGCAAGTGCATGTGCGAGCGCACTTGGATGCAGCGCGCGCTTCGCGGGGCAGCACTTTCGGATTTCTTCTTGCGCCCAGAAAGGGCCACTGGGCGCTTGGCCATCTTTGCTCCAAGGCAAGCCAAGCCCCAATCCGACCAATGAGTGGAAGATTCGAAGCAGGGCCCGGCACTCAACTCGCTGTGTTTGAAGGACTTGACATGGTGGCACTTCAATCCAAAGAGCATATGACAGTAGAACTGTGCTGATTGAAGTCTCCTTAACGTCCGCGTCCTCCAACCTGGTTAGTGAGCTCTTGATTGAAGTCGAACAGATTCAAGAGCCTGAACGGTTAGACCAAGATATGAGAGTTAGGGTCTCAGAGACGGCGGTAAAAGGCTTGAGATTCAAAGGTAAGGCCTGGACTGTGAGGGGAGCGTCTGTAAGGTTGGGACACAAGACCCTGAGAACTTGGATGTAGAACTCAAGCCTTTGGTAACAGCCTGGTGAACAAGACCCAGAAATAAGACTCAAGAATCCAAGGGTGTGAACGGTTAGACCAAGAGTGAAGGAGTTAATAAAGATAGAATCTTGGGCTGGAACCTTTCATAACAGGCTTGGAAACAGAGGTTGAGTCTCAAGGTGTGACAGGAAGAGAGAAAAGACCCAGAAAATAGGGCCAGCGAAGTGGAAGAGAAGCTGCAACTCCAGATTTGGTGCCAGCAAAGAGCACTTGAAGCGAAGTTGCAACTCAAGATTTGGTGCCAGCAAATTGCACTTGAAGAGAAGTTACAACTCAGTGCCAGAGCACTTGAAGAGAAGTTGCAACTCAACAATTGGTGCCAGCAAAGAGCACTTGAAGAGAAGTTGCAACTCAAGATTTGGTGCCAGCAAAGGGCACTTGAAGAGAAGTTGCAACTCAAGATTTGGTGCCAGCAAAGAGCACTTGAAGAGAAGTTGCAACTCAAGATTTGGTGCCAGCAAAGAGCACTTGAAGATAAGTTGCAACTCAAGATTTGGGGCCAGCAAAGAGCACTTGAAGAGAAGTTGCAACTCAAGATTTGGTGCCAGCAAAGGCAAGATTTGGTGCCAGCAAAGAGCACTTGAAGAGAAGCTGCAACTCAAGATTTGGTGCCAGCAAAGAGCACTTGAAGAGAAGTTGCAACTAAAGACTTGGTGCCCGCAAAGAGCACTTGAAGAGAAGTTGCAACTCAAGATTTGGTGCCAGCAAAGAGCACTTGAAGAGAAGTTGCAACTCAAGATTTGGTGCCAGCAAAGAGCACTTGAAGAGAAGTTGCAACTCAAGATTTGGCGCCAGCAAAGAGCACTTGAAGAGAAGTTGCAACTCAAGATTTGGTGCCAGCAAAGAACCCTTGAAGAGAAGTTGCAACTCAAGATTTGGTGCCAGCAAAGAGCACTTGAGGAGAAGTTGCAACTCAAGATTTGGTGCCAGCAAAAGAGCACTTGAAGAGAAGTTGCAACTCAAGATTTGGTGCCAGCAAAGAGCACTTGAAAAGAAGTGGCAACTCAAGATTTGGTGCCAGCAAAGAGCACTTGAAGAGAAGTTGCAGCTCAAGATTTGGTGCCAGCGAAAAGCACTTGACTGAAGAGAAGTTGCAACTCAAGATTTGGTGCCAGCAAAGAGCACTTGAAGAGAAGTTGCAAGCAAATGAAGAAGTTGCAACTCAAGATTTGATGCCAGCGCAAAGCACTTGCAACTGAAGATTCGGTGCCAGCAAAGAGCACTTGAAGAGAAGCAGCAACTCAAGATTTGGTGCCGGCAAAGAGCACTTGAAGAGAAGTTGCAACTCAAGATTTGGTGCCAGCAAAGAGCACTTGAAGAGAAGTTGCAACTCAAGATTTGGTGCCAGCAAAGAGCACTTGAAGAGAAGTTGCAACTCAAGGTTTGGTGCCAGCAAAGAGCACTTGAAGAGAAGTTGCAACTCAAGATTTGGTCCAACAAAAAGCACTTGAAGAGAAGTTGTAACTCAAGATTTGGTGCCTGCGAAGAGCACTTGAAGAGAAGTTGCAACTCAAGATTCGGTGCCAGCAAAGAGCGCTTGAAGAGAAGTTGCAACTCAAGATTTGGTGCCAGCAAAGAACACTTGAAGAGAAGTTGCAACTCAAGATTTGGTGCCAGCAAAGAGCACTTGAAGAGAAGTTGCAACTCAAGATTTGGTGCCAGCAAAGAGCACTTGAAGAGAAGTTGCAACTCAAGATTTGGTGCCAGCAAAGAGCACTTGAAGAGAAGTTGCAACTCAAGATTCGGTGCCAGCAAAGAGCCCTTGAAGAGAAGTTGCAACTCAAGATTTTGTGCCAGCAAAGAGCACTTGAAGAGAAGCTGCAACTCAAGATTCGGTGCCTGCGAAGAGCACTTGAAGAGAAGCTGCAACTCAAGATTTGGTGCCAGCAAAGAACCCTTGAAGAGAAGTTGCAACTCAAGATTTGGTGCCGGCAAAGAGCACTTGAAGAGAAGTTGCAACTCAAGACTCGGTGCCAGCAAAGAGCACTTGAAGAGAAGTTGCAACTCACGATTCGGTGCCTGCGAAGAGATCCGAAGAGACGTTGCAACTCAAGACTTGGTGCCAGCAAGGAGCACTTGAAGCGAAGTTGCAACTCAAGATTTGGTGCCAGCAAAGAGCACTTGAAGAGAAGTTGCAACTCAAGATTTGGTGCCAGCAAAGAGCACTTGAAGAGAAGCTGCAACTCAAGATTTGGTGCCAGCAAAGAGCACTTGAAGAGAAGTTGCAACTCAAGATTCGGTGCCAGCAAAGAGCGCTTGAAGAGAAGTTGCAACTCAAGGTTTGGTGCCAGCAAAGAGCACTTGAAGAGAAGTTGCAACTCAAGATTTGGTCCAACAAAAAGCACTTGAAGAGAAGTTGTAACTCAAGATTTGGTGCCTGCGAAGAGCACTTGAAGAGAAGTTGCAACTCAAGATTCGGTGCCAGCAAAGAGCGCTTGAAGAGAAGTTGCAACTCAAGATTTGGTGCCAGCAAAGAACACTTGAAGAGAAGTTGCAACTCAAGATTTGGTGCCAGCAAAGAGCACTTGAAGAGAAGTTGCAACTCAAGATTTGGTGCCAGCAAAGAGCACTTGAAGAGAAGTTGCAATTCAAGGTTTGGTGCCAGCGAAAAGCACTTGAAGAGAAGCTGCAACTCAAGATTTGGTGCCAGCAAAGAGCACTTGAAGAGAAGTTGCAAGCAAATGAAGAAGTTGCAACTCAAGATTTGGTGCCAACGCAGAGCACTTGCAACTGAAGATTCGGTGCCAGCAAAGAGCACTTGAAGAGAAGTTGCAACTCAAGATTCGGTGCCAGCAAAGAGCGCTTGAAGAGATTGCAACTCAAGACTTGGCGCCAGCAAAGAGCACTTGAAGAGAAGTTGCAACTCAAGATTTGGTGCCAGCAAAAAGCGCTTGACGAGAAGTTGCAACTCAAGATTTGGTGCCAGCAAAGAGCACTTGAAGAGAAGTTGCAACTCAAGATTTGGTGCCAGCAAAGAACACTTGAAGAGAAGTTGCAACTCAAGATTTGGTGCCAGCAAAGAGCACTTGAAGAGAAGTTGCAACTCAAGATTCGGTGCCAGCAAAGAGCACTTGAAGAGAAGTTGCAACTCAAGATTTGGGCAGCAAAGAGCACTTGAAGAGAAGTTGCAACTCAAGATTTGGTGCCAGCAAAGAGCACTTGAAGAGAAGTTGCAACTGCCTGAAAAGTGCACCCGGGGAGAAGCTTGCAACTCAAGATTTGTTGCCAGAAAAGAGCACTTGACAACAAGTTGCAACTCAAGATTCGGCGCCAGCAAAAAGCACCCGAAGAGAAGTTGCAACTCAAGATTTGGTGCCAGCAAAAAGCCCTTGAAGAGAAGTTGCAACTCAAGATTTGGTGCCAGCAAAGAGCGCTTGAAGAGAAGTTGCAACTCAAGATTTGGTGCCAGCAAAGAGCCCTTGAAGAGAAGTTGCAACTCAAGATTTGGTGCCAGCAAAGAGCACTTGAAGAGAAGCTGCAACTCAAGATTCGGTGCCTGCGAAGAGCACTTGAAGAGAAGCTGCAACTCAAGATTTGGTGCCAGCAAAGAGCCCTTGAAGAGAAGTTGCAACTCAAGATTTGGTGCCGGCAAAGAGCACTTGAAGAGAAGTTGCAACTCAAGATTCGGTGCCAGCAAGGAGCACTTGAAGCGAAGTTGCAACTCAAGATTCGGTGCCTGCGAAGAGACCCGAAGAGAAGTTGCAACTCAAGATTTGGTGCCAGCAAGGAGCAC